CCCAACAGTGTCACCAGCAAAGCACCCCCACACCATCACACCTCCTCCTCCATGCTTCACGGTGGGAACCAGGCATGTAGAGTCCATCCGTTCACCTTTTCTGCGGCGCACAAAGACACTGTGGTTGGAACCAAAGATCACAAATTTGGACTCATCAGAACAAAGCACAGATTTCCATTGGTCTAATATCCATTCCTTGTGTTCTTTAGCTCAAACAAGTCTCTTCTGCTTGTTGCCTGTCCTTAGCAGTGGTTTCCTAGCAGCTATTCTACCATGAATGCCTGATTCACACAGTCTCCTCTTAACAGTTGTTGCAGAGATGTGTCTGCTGCTAGAACTCTGTGTGGCATTGACCTGGTCTCTAATCTGAGCTGCTGTTGACCTGCGATTTCTGAGGCTGGTGACTCGGATGAACTTATCCTTCGCAGCAGAGGTGACTCTTGGTCTTCTTTTCCTGGGGCGGTCCTCATGTGAGCCAGTTTCTTTGTAGCACTTGATGGTTTTTGCGACTGCACTTGGGGACACTTTCAAAGTTTTCCCAATTTTTCGGACTGACTGACCTTCATTTCTTAAAGTAATGATGGCCACTCGTTTTTCTTTACTTAGCTGCTTTTGTCTTGCCATAATACAAATTCTAACACTCTATTCAGTAGGACTATCAGCTGTGTGTCCACCTGACTTCTGCACAACACAACTGATGGTCCCAACCCCATTTATAAGGCAAGAAATCCCACTTATTAACCTGACAGGGCACACCTGTGAAGTGAAAACCATTTCAGGTGACTACCTCTTGAAACTCATCAAGAGAATGTGCAAAGCAGTAATCACAGCAAAAGATTGCTACTTTGAAGAAACTAGAATATAAGGACTATTTTCAGTTGTTTTACACTTTTTTGTTTAGTACATATTTCCACGTGTTAATTCATAGCTTTGATGCTTTCAGTGTGAATCTACAATGTCTATGGACCTTACCATAGGGGCCGCGTTTAATTGGCTAATGCCCATTTCACGTCACAGCGCAGCTACCACATACGTGACCGTCTCACAAACACAAGCTACAGTAGTAAACACATGCTAATGTACATTGTGGACTAGCAGACCGGCAGAAAGTTTTTGTGTCAGGACTCGAAAAAGAATAGTTCTCCACTGTAGGTGGGGTATCTGTACAGGCGATGTCAGGTATCCTGATAGTATTTGTGGAACTAAAATTCACAGATTTCCAAAATCTGNCTTTAGATGAAATGATTTGCTGAGAGCATTTAAAGGGTCTTATTGGGCAAAGATATCAGTCAGGGCACAACAAAAGACAGTGAAGAAGGGAATCAAGAAGAGGAGTAGATCTGAAACCAATGAAAAGGCAAGAAGAAAATTAAAGGAGCTACAGAAATGTCTAGTGAGTACTGGTTGTGTTTTACATGCAACAGCAATCACCCGCTGTGTTCTTCTCATGGTCCGGTTCTATTAAAGAGTTACAAAACCACAGACTGGCCTGGCTGAAATCCCCTCAAAACTTAGTGAAAGATTGCTTTAATGAATAAAACCAAAGTTCAACTGTTTTTGGCCTTAATTGTAAAAGGCGTATTTGGCACTGAAGTAATACTCCAAAACAGGTGTTGGCCAAGGCAGAGAAAGTTGTGGCAGCATCATGCTCTGGGGTGGGGTTTTTTCTGCTTTAGCCAATGTGGAGGAAACCATCAACAGTTTTTTATTGCAAACATTCAAGTTTGCAGTATAAGGTGTATTTTTGAAAGCTGAAAATTAAGAGGAATTTTTTTTTTAGCGTTGCCAATAGCCCACTGACTTCTGATAAAACCTAAGCCTATTAGAAGACCTGTAGGATGACCTGGACAGGGCTGGATAGGGCTGTCCACCTGCAGCTCTAACAGAGCTGGAGCATGTTAGCTATGAAGACGGACAAATGTTCCCAACTCAAGTTCTGCATACTGAAAGATGTACTTAAAAGGACTGGAGACTGTATGTACTCTAAAAAGTGCTTCAACAAATTATTAGTCTTAGTTGAAGCTGGACAACATGGCTGAAAAATGTGGCATGATAAAAAATGATGTCAATCTATATCTAGAATTATCAACAAGTTATTTTGTTTTAACTATCTGAAATCCTGCCACACTATGGGTATGACCTTTACCGTTTCATCCACTCTGTTTTGTATTTTTAAGCAGTTATGAAGGGAGGCAACCAAAGAGTGATGAGTTGATACCACCAGCCTTGCTTAGCTGCTGTGAAAAGCTGAGTGGCTAAAGCTTGTCCTCTGCCTACATTCCCCAGAATGCTGTGCGATTCTGGATCAGAGTTCAGTGAATATTCTATCTATTGGTATTGCTCACGTGCCTATTGTCATGTATAATAAGTTATTTATTATCCAGCCGTAGTTTTAGTGTAGGGGCACTAATACTTTTTATGTCATTGCATCTTTTTTCTTGTTCGGCTGAATCGTCCCAAATATAATGTTGTATTCCATAAATGAGAATCTGCTTCGATGAGGCTCTTTTGTCAGATTAAAGCACCTTTTGAAAATAACATTAAAGCAGGTATTAAACTTACTTTCCATTAAGCCCCCAGTATGAAAAGATTTATTATGTACCTGATGTACAATTCTCACCTTAAATGCTGTGTTGTCCTTGGCTGTAAACAGAAAATCATGTTAATTAACAGAAACATCAGTCTGTGCAGAATTAATCTATACAATGTGTGAACTGGGTTATTGAAATCAATTAACTTTAATGAATATTCTAATTTATTGACAATGCACCAGACTAAAGGTGGGCAGATTTATTTTGAGCTAATTTTCTGACCTAAAATCCCTGGAGTTTTAACAAGCTGACGATTTATCTTCATGAACCCGGCTGAGGTACGAGTGAGGGTCCTGTCCCACACTGGGTCAGTTTTAATCACACATTCTTACCACCTGAGTGAATATTAATAATCAACAAACAGTCCTCTCTTGTATTTTCTGTATTGTCTAGGTTTCTCAGGCAGCTACAGAACTGAAGACCTTCTGTTTGCAAAACGCTCACAAAGACCCGCTGCTGACCGGGGTTCCCTCCAGTGATAACCCATTCAGGCCTCCCAAGTCATGTGTTCTGCTTTGAGGTGTGTGTGTGACGCTCTTTTCCACAAAGAAATATTATTCACACTTTCCTGAAATGTCTTGTTTTCTTCTCACATGATGTTTATTTGATACTTGGTTCACATCCTCGTTCCCTAAACGTCTCATTTGAAAATGTATTTCCTAAAAATCAAATAAAACATGAGCTTGTGGATTCTGTCCAGGACCTTTTCATAGGTTTTGTGTTTTACTGTTACATGGAGATGTCATCGCTGACAAACATGTCATCCAGAATGGGACCACATGAAACATTTTATTCTAGTACAGCAGCAGATCTTTTGACAGTTTTAGAGGGCTTTTTTGTTTTAGGTGTCTTTGGAGATAATAACTTCACATAAATGTCAATTCATCTTTTATCTGTAGGGCTGCAAAGGAGAGAGGAACAACCAAACAGTTTCCTGTGGATTTTAACAGTGTCACTGCCATTGAAGATAAAGAAGACGACCCCACTGCTTGCAGCTGGTTTTCAGAAGGACTTTTTGACCACAAAAAAATGTTGCAGTGAAGCATAATCCCCCAAAATTATTTGCATTTCCAAAGCTTTTCCAGAATGAATCTAAAGTTAGATATTGAATTAGGCTCTACTCCTACAAGATTCCGAGACATAAAATACAATATTTTAACATGCTAGAATATTTTTGTTCACTTTGTGAGTTTATTATTCAGCAATAGTTACTTTAGTAGCATTTAAAGTACAGCAACAAATATTTATTTTCCTATTCAACGTTCTCAGTAATTTAATAGAGTTTGACATGCATTTAGCTAAACAAATGTTTTCTGATCTATTGTAAGCTTTACAGATTTGTCTCTTCATGGAAAGAGATATTTTGTTCACTTATTTTCTGTTGTATTTCAACTGCTTTTTAAATAGTTCTCTGCAATTGTAACATATTAGTTCGCTGACTTATAAAGTGCTTTGAAACATCCAAAAAAAGAGACCAAAACACATGACAATAAAATTGTTACAACATCGTTACAAGATCACACAGAACAAAATGTTAATAATGTTTCTACTGTCAACTAAGTAACAGCATTTGTTAATCATCACAAAATGTCAGATTTGAGTTGTAAATATGACATTGTCATGTTTTCAGGTGCAATGCCACCTGATAACTTTGCACTTGAACAGCAGCTTCACAATGAAACAGTCTGCTGGGCAATCATTTTATACACATTTTTTCAGCAGGAAAATGGAAACTGGTCAGAGTTGGTAGGTGATCGATAAAGCTAAATACAGGGGGAATGCTGGGAGAAAACCAGCTAACACTGCAAGCTGCTTAACACTGGGCCAGAGATTCATCTTCCAGCAGAAAATCAACCCTATATATACAGCCATAGCTACAATAAAACGGTTTAAATCAAAGCATATCCATGTGTTAGAATTGCACAGTCAAAGACTAGACCTAAATGCAATCGTGATTGTACCAAGGCCTGAATATTGATGTTTGCAGTCATTCCACCTAACATGAGTGAGCTTGAAACATTTTGCATACAACAGTTATCAATTTCTGTCCCAGATGTATGACGCTGGTACAGACATACAATAAAAGACTATTTGCAGAAAAATTCTGTTCTACAAAGTATTGTGTTACAAATAAATATGCACACCATGTTTTTCAGACCTGAATTTGTCAAGCATTTTGAAAGCCTATATCCTTTTTATTCCACTTAGCCATTATACATTGCTTCGTGTATAATAAATAATAAAGTCTATGGCTGTAAAATGATCAAATGTGAAGCATTTAGGAAAGAAACTGCTTAATACCAATTTTTATGAATAAGCAAATCTTAATGTATGATAAAAAAAGTACCTATAGATTTATTCTTAGAAATGTTGTTGAATTTATTTCATTTTAACTTAGTATTAAATGTTAAAGTGACTCAAAAATCTTCGATTAGTTACTTGTGTTTGCGTGCTACCATGATAAGCCCGGTAGGAGGCGCTGTTGAAGCAGCTCATCGGATTGATGGCTGTCCTGCCTCCAGTAGAGAGCACTGCTTGGTTGGACGTGAGCGGCGTCGACCTGCCTCTACTTCCAGATCGAAGATGGCGGTCTCTGTGTTCCGCGGCGTGCGGCTGCTCTCTATCGGAGACGCGAATGGAGACATACAGCGACATTCAGAGCAGCAGCCGCTGCGGCTAGAAGTGAAAACCTCACAAGATGCTGCCCTCATCAATCTCTCCAATGGTGAGTTGAACTGTTTGTTTCTAACAACTGCTCTCTGGAAGGTCGGCCTGATTGAACTGCTAATGCTCAGTGCTAATGTGGCCAGCAGTAGCTTTAGCCAACAAGGAGCTGTTCCATCTTGAGACCACCTCGTTTCCCTTTACTTGTCACGAGGGAACTAAAGAAAACTAAATATTTTGTAGCTTATTTGGGATTCTGAAGCCTGAACACATTGGGTTTAGGTACCATACAACGAAGTTCACTGCTTGGAATAACGCGGTCAAGAACATGTAGAGTAGTTTAACGATAAGGACGGTTGCTAAATAACGTGAACTAAAACATGCTAGTTAAACAATACCACTAGCCTAGATTTAACAGTGATGTGATAAGCTTACGTGGTTGTATCCATTTAACACCTTTGGTTTTGTGTATTTATATTTTGTCGTAATAGTGTAAGCTGTGTTTTTATAAGTCAGCATGAATCAGTTTTGTTCCCCTGGGAGCCGGGTAGGTAGGAGAGTGCTTAGCTTGAATTAGCCGCTTTGAACTGATTCGCAGCAGAGACCTGGATATATCACTTCTGACCCGCCACCGTGCTCTGCGGTCCGGGCGGCGCTTCGCACTGCGTGGCCTTTATCGGACCGTGGATTTAATGGCACACTCAAACTTTTTATAAGTAGTAGTTTTATGTTAAAGCTGTAGAGGCAGATTTGGTAGCGTAGTCACACTGGGCCCTCATTACTTATGCATTCATCTTTGTTCTCATTGGAACAATGGCTTCATCCCTTGCCCGCCACCTCATGCGTGCCGTGAAGGCAGCATCAGAGCTGCTCTGCACATTTTCCCACTTAATGTAATTCCCCTATTAAAAACAGCAACTGTCCAAGTCTACGGTTATGCAAAAAAAGAAAAGAAAAAGATTTTAAAAGGTATACTCAGCGCAACATTATTATTATTATGGCGAAAGCCAACGTCATTATATCTGTAGAAATAGACCTAAGATATATTGGAGTCGGTCAATTTAAAATACAATACAAAAGTAAAGGGAATATGAAATGGAGTATGAAAATTTAAATACAGGAGGAGAACAAGAAACCTATTTGATTTCCATTAAAATAAGACGCAATGAATTTGTGGTGTAAAATGTTGAAAATCAATCCATTAATATATGTTTATTTTTGGTAAATTTCATTAAATAACTGCTTTTCTGTTTCTTGTGGATAAAGTGTCAATTATAAAACATTCTTGAATAAACTTAACAAAATAAATACTGACAAGTTGCATTTCTAGCTAAACTGAAGTAGTTGCATAACATGTTCCTATTTACATTTAATGTGTTAAAATTTAGCTTTTTACAACAATGGACCTTACCACAGGGGCCGCGTTTCATTGGCTAATGCCCAGCCACAGTAGTAAACACATGCTAATATTGTGGACTAGCAGACTGGCAGAAAGTTTTTGCGTCAGGACTCGAAAAAGAATGGTTCTCCACTGTCAGTGGGGAATCTGTTCAGGCGATGTCAGGCATCCTGTGATCGTATTTGTGGAACTAAAATTCACAGATTTCCAAAATCTGAAACGAAATGCCTTGCTTGGATCAAAGCTTGTGCACGACCGCATTTGCAGCTCAACCGTCGTAGGTTCAAGAACAAAGGAGTGTGTGCTGGTGTAAGTATTATTGCTTTGCTTTCTTTGTGTTTAGTGAATGAAAAAAAGTCAATAACACATCCATTATGAAAACCTTTTAGCTAAGTACAGCATAATGGCAGTACCGATACAACTTCTACACCTTGAAGCCTGTCTGTTACACATTCTTATGTTAGCTGAACAGATCAATATGCAATGTGTACCGTATCTGACACACATTAAAGATTTTATTTTACCTGAAAAGGCTTTTTACTAAACTGTAATCGTGTTAGCCACGCTAGCACCGAGTACAGTGCGTCAGGCCTAGGCACACTCAAACATTTGCCAACAACAGAAATCACTGATTTCAAAAGTAACCCTCAAAACCATGAATGCCCGACTTACCCAGCCTTGCAAGAACAATAGGCACCAGTGATCTTGTCCACAGCTATATTTATGCTGAGGGTGTGAGGATCTGCTGCTTTCCTCATCTATCGGTAGCTTTTAGCTGCGACGCGCACAATGTTGGAGGCATCCCGTGACTCAAACAGCTTGATTTCGTCCAAAAAAGATGACATGAACTTGTTGGTTCCCCTGTCCATTGTCGTGGCTCATATTTTTTGAAAATCCGGCAGAAATGCTACACTAATCGACTCAGAAATACTCTGCAGAGAGTCAGTCAAAGTGAAAGACGCCATGTTTACATAGAAACTAAGCTCTGAGGCTTTGTTTGTGAGACATGCAGCCACGTGGGATTTTAGGGGTCGTTTCTGGGCGGAGCTTGGTAAGGTCCATTACATGGGATCCCTGAAAGCAGGCTAGTTCCTTGGTCTGAATTCTGCACTTAGTTTTTTTCTTATGATCAGCTTAATCAATCCCTTTTTTTAATACTGTGTGCAGGACCGTTCTAGTTGTTCTCAGTTCTTTCTGGATAGTTTTTCATTGATAACTGGATTCATGGGTTGTTTGATTTCTAAAATTTCTTTATCATGTGAATAAAAATGTTTTTAGCTCTAATTAGCTTTTACGATGGATGTTGTCCTTTTACAACTTAAACCTGCATATCACCTTCAGAGTGTCTTTAATGAGAATCAGAATCAGTGTGCTGTAACTTCACACAAGTTTCTTATTCCGGCTAAAAAAAAAATTGCAGATTGACGGTGATGAGTCAGCTGATGGTGTGCTCCTTAGCAAGCGGACGCAGGAGGGAGCGACCTCACGGTTTTAATCAGGCCCACTGTTCTGAAGACCACAGGCTCCACCTGACTCACAACACACACATCCTGACTCGCTCCTGGTGTGTGGAAGACAAATGATTCCGATTAGAAATCACACAAACGCACACATACAATAAAGGCATATTTCCAAGTAGGCCTGTCACAATAACAAATATTGCTGAATGACATTTGTCCTAGAAGTTATTGCAATAAACGATAATAATGTTGTTTTAATGCCATTTTCAAGTAATAATAATGCAGGAACCCATTCTTACAGATCAGTAGACTTTAAATTCTGTTGAACATTTAGCACTGGAACGGGAAGACATTTTAAATATCCAATATAAATAAACAAATCAGAAACAACAAGTAAAATGGATACTTTTCCTTGTAAACAAAATTGTCCTTCAAAATAAGGGCTGGTTGAGACCAAGTCGTCAGAGTGAAGACTTTTATCACCGATTTTTTGGTAGAAAATGAGAAATACTATAAATTATGCAGGTGAAAATTGTTTGTTTTAATTTATCATGCAATTAATTGATTTATTGATTATTGTGACAGGCCTGTGTCTAAGTCCTGCTGCTTCACTTGACTTTTACTGTTTAGTGAAAAAAGTAATTGCCCCATTACAGATTTAATCTGTACTTCCTTTTCTGTTGCATGTGAATGTTTCAGATCAACATGTCATAATGACAACCTGAACAGTTTCCACATGAGGATTTTATGTATTAAGGGAAAAAGGCATCCAAAGACACATGGCCAAACCTACACCAAGCAACTGGCTGTCAACTTTTGGTGGGGATGTCTGCCAAGGATCACTCTTCTTTGCACAATTGTTTTAATTTGGCCACATTGGGGGGTTTCCCAGTAGGAACAACCTGTTTAAAACGGTATGTAACTTTTACAAATATATGATTTTGACATGTCTGTCAAAATTGTCACCATGTCGAGACAGTATAGAGCAGTGTTTTTCAACATTTTTTAAGTGGAGGTACATTATTTTAATTGAAAAAATCTCGAGGCACACCACCAACCAAAAATGTAAACAAAGATATTCTGTAGCCGCCTATATTACATATATAATCATTCTTATCAAAGTCTCTTGCATAGGAATCAAATAAACACAAAAATGTATTTTTTTATCACATTTTACATTTCTTATTTCAAATTGCTCTTAACAATGTGGTCTTAAATTTACAGAAGTTGTAGAAAACTAAATTAGTTTGACCACAAGCATTCTTTAAGTTGGAATACAGAAAATCATTCTTATTCTGAAAGAAGCAGTAATATTTGTTAAAGATTTTACTTCATATTCACTGTTACAATATGAAGAGTTGCATGTACAAAATGTCAATATCTGTATTTTTTACCCGCCTAGTGTGAAACCTCTGCATGTTCGGATGAAAACAGCTGATTTCCTGGCAGAAATTGACGAAAGACAAAGCTCTTCCTCAACAGCTCTCAGTCTCTCTCTGGTTTCACTTTTTATAGTAGCCAGGCTTGAGAAGCTCACTTCACACAGACATGTTTGGGAAATGGACCCATGTTCTTTCCAACTACTGCTGAGCTTCACTGTCTTTTCCATCACCGTCGTCACAGTCTTGCTGGATACGATGCTCTCACCGCTACCTGTAACATTCATGCATCACTAATTCTCTTGTTTTAATGTAAAATGCTCTGTACCTACTGCCATCTAGTGGTTAAAAAATACATGATTACGCCGCTAGCCACTACTAACCATGGTTTCGTTCACATCGAGCTTAAGTGCAGCGGCTCCATTTCCCTCGTGTAGTGCCAGATCGACAGCCCTCAACTTAAAAGCTGCATCATACGAGTTTGAAAACATTTCTCCGTCGTGCCTGCTGCTAGCATGTGGTTGTTCTGAATGAAAATTAAAACGTTCTTCTTTGATTTACAATTTTGACTTCTAATGTCAAAATTGTAGCACCAGGGGGCTGCTAGAGAGCCCCCTGGTGGTTGAAGAAAAATACACAGAAAAGCCGCACCGGGCTACAATCCGCATGGTTCAAAGTTTAGGGGAAAAAAAAGTAGCAGCTTATAGTCCGGAAAATACGGTACCATGGGTGAAATTTAATAATTTCCACGGCACACCTGTTGATCACTCACGGCACACTAGTGTTCCGCGGCACAGTGGTTGAAAAACACTGGCATAGAGAACAGAATCGTTGGTTCAGAAAGTTCTCCAGGTCCTGAAGCAGTAGCCCTAGATCATCATACAACCACCACCGTGTTTAACTGTTAGTGTGGCGTTCCTTTTTCTGAATTGTTTTCTTGTTTTTATGTCCTATGAGAGGGAATGCTAACATTCCAAAATGTTCAACGGAGGAGTGGCTTTGGCCATTTTGGAAGCCATTTTGCCCCAGTCTCTCTGCCTTATTGTAGCCTGGTGAACTCTGACCTTAAATGATGTGAGGCCTGCTGAGCTTCCTGTTTGTTTTAGTTGTTGATGTGTTGTCTGCTGTCTGTGGACGCTTCGCCTCTGTTCCATGTTCTCCGGCAGAGATGCTTTTCTCACTGATTCCACATTAATAGATATCAATCATTTTGTTTCCTCATTGAAGTTCTTTGAATCTGGGCACAGTGTGGTGGTTTGAAATCTTGTGACCAACTTCATGTGGTCAGGTGTTAGATTTTTTTTTAAGTGCTTTCTTCAGTCTGTAGGTCTGACAGTACTTAAAATAGAAATGGAACCAAAAACATTTTTTATCACACCTAATTTATGATTTCACAAATGGGGCTAAGTATGTTTCTACATTGAACCAGATTGGAATAATCAAACTATGAAGAATGAGCTTCATAATTTGAAGTTTTCTAAGGTTTCCTTTGTCAGATGTTAAAATGAGTTTGACCTGAAAACATTGAAGCATGTGAAACTCCAGATTTCTTGGACTGCCAGCGTTTTGTCCAAAGGTCTGCTGACGCTAGACAGTACAGTCAAAACAATAACACAGTGATGTGTCTCTATTTATAGCATCAATGCAGCAAACCTTCACAATAAGAGCCCTTTCCAGGAATAAGGCAGTGTGAACTTCCTATGGCTTTACACATAGCTGTGTTGCAGTAACTTGAATACTTCCTCCACAGGTCAAAGAACGACCATTTAAAATAACCTTAACCTGCTTATTTAAATGTTAGCTGTCTTTAAAGTGATCCATAAGGAGTTGTGTTTTTCTCCTTCTGAATGAGTCCATGTCCTGAAATTCTGTAGTGACTACAGTTAGAGGAGGAGGGAGGTCTGTGTGGAACATAATTTACACCATCTGTCAGTTTTGACAGATATGAATAATAAACTCCATATAATTTCTTATTTTATTTATTTCAAACATGATAGCACTATAAAATAACAGACATGAACAAGGAATGCAAAAGACACATATTTTTGTACCATAACAATCTTAACATGATGCTGCCATCATACTGGTCATTTGACCGGAGCAGCTTCTACATGTTTGTGCCTTGAGGTAAAATGCAGACAGGACCAGGGCTGGGCGAAATAGACTTAAAGTTTTATCGAGATATTTTGTGGTAATGTTGTGACTATTTAAAATGGCGGATTGACAAAATTGATTAGCTGAAAGTCAGGATTTTGTTGAGCAGTTCCACAGTAAATGTAGTGACGTCACAGCCAAGAAAACTTACTAGGGAATAGAGACCAATGAACAGACTGGGAAATTTAAACCAAAAAAAAAAAATGAAAATATCTATACAGAACCAGGAGATGAGATAATAAATTAAATTATTTTGCACCC